CACCAGTACATCGTGCTCACGGAGCCATAGGTCTTCTCACGACCTAGATGCCCACCAACGGGCGTATCATGTATCTCATAGAGGATACGATACTTGAGGTCCTCATCATGAGGAACGACCACACGAGGTGTGTCCTCAGGGTCAGTGCTGTAGTACAGCACGCCACCATCGTGAGTGTATCGATGCAGCCTCGCGCGTAAGCGCCCAGGCAATTCTTTGTCAGAGGTTTTAAACTGTTCGCTCCCTAGAGCTCGTAGCAAGGCTACACACGTGTCGTCTAGTGCATACGCTGCGCGTATTAAGTCAGGCACTGACGACGTCACAGTTGTGACATGGCCTAACTCGTAGTCTGACCTACGCGACAGCGCGTCGCCCACTACATTAAGCCGCGCCGGCTTGTACTTCACAGTGAAGTTATACTATTACAGTACGGTGCGAGCTGCACTAGGATCTTAATAACACAAGATAAATATTAGTGGTAGAATAATAATGGGATTGTGAAGCAGACGGATCTATTGGTCTTCGCCATAGGTCGCAAACACAAAAGCTCAGCTAACCATGCAGGTCTGAAGCCACTTACCGCCAAGGTTCGGATGACCATGCCCAACCGTGCGAGACTTCGGGCAACCATCACTGGACAAAAATAGCCACCCGTAAACCGAAAAAAAACGCGAAGGTTAACGAATACCAGACGTGATTTATCCAGACGATCCACTAACTCAGCTGGAGTTGCTGTTTCTAGAATTGTTAACTACCTTGCGGGTTTTGTGGTATTCTTCTAATGGATTGTTAGTTGCTGCATATCAAGGTGGCGTGCGGAACGCCTGTCACTCACTAAAACGAGGGTGCAAAATTCACTGAGCGATAATACGCTCGGCTACTTGTCGAAAGAAATAACAAACACAGATGTAACACGCCAAGTCGATAGTACACTTGCTTGTTTGCTAAGAAATTCTTCCTTTTTTTTTAGAAGATCGTTAAGATCATTAAATATCAACTCAATACTCACGCTCGGTAGTTTTTTTTTTACCCACGTAGTCTTTGACGTTCGTGCAGAAATGAATCCAGCACATTAGGACTTTTGAGGCTGGCAATGCATTCTTGCATGTGTTGGGCATTAGTCATCACGAAGTGGGGCGAAAATCTAATCATAAAGGTTTCCACACAATGCGTTTAGTGAAAGCAAGACACCATTCAATACCAGATCCGGTCGCTGAGAAGTACAAAAGAAGATCATAGGGAAGAATTTACCGCGGCAATCAGACATTTCAAAATACACTATGGGTGCTATCGATGTGAAATATTGTTTCTCACCGTGGGTCGCGTTGGACAATCACATACTGCTGGAGTAATCAGCGGCACGTGAGCCCAATTCGAAAAAGAGAAGTCGACGATCCATTGCCAAGGCTGGGCACTAAATTAGCTTCGTCGTACTTTGTATCACACAGAATTATCAATTTTTCACCGACTTTGCAGTGGTTTTCTGCTGCTTGGGTTGCTTGGGTCGTAGAATTTACAATCTCCCTTTCTTGCTTCAGGTTGGGCAAAATAGTAAACAGCCAATTCCACGCCCAAGATCTCGTATGCAATGAATAGAGCTGTGGAATTCAGCGACGCATACTGATTTCACTTTGGCCGAGTAAGTGGGCATGTTGCCAGGTCGAAGTCGATAAAGGAATGACCCTGTTCGTTGTACGCTTGGTCATGCTGCACATGATGATGACGATAAGCTGCTGGAAAAGCACGAGATGCGCAGAACCGTTACGAAATGTGTCTTCGGTCGCTGTAATCTCAGTGATGTCGAATGTTCATGCAGATACCGGATTCTGTTATGTACAAAGAGCACTCTAGCGAGTGTATCTGTTGATGGGAACCATGCAATGGTCGATCTTCAGCTGCATACCCGACAGTGTAATGAATAGTGCACGCCCGATGGCAAAATTGAAAGTGTATTTCATGTAGGTTCTGTTTGACTTGGCTGCCGTCGGCAGGCAAGCTGTAGTTGAACTTTCAAGTTCAAATTTCAACTTACAAATCTCACGATAGCCAATTGGGAATTTCATTGGCTGGACAAACAAAGTTGCTTTATGGTTTGTTGTCCATGACGTCGGATACGTCACAGACAGTGCCAGTGCTGACAGATCAGATGAGGGCTGTCATTGATGAGCGACCGGAAGATGATGGATCATTCACCGCAGTGGACTTGTTTTAAATCCAGTTCCAAAAAATGGTTGGGCCCTAGTTGGGCCAATGCCATTGCTTACTTAAGTTTGGAGCTACTGAAAACGTGGTGAAAAAAACACGAGCGAGACGCAAAGCAGCCTGTAATTGAGCTTTGTTGCCAAAATATGTACAACACACTGAATAATATTAGCGACTTAGAGTGTACGTTTGCATCCTCGCTATCAGTGTGGCCGTTCATGATCTGACTGTTGGGACTTTCGAAGTTTAGGAAGTCACGCAACTAACCACGGTAATACGAGGATTTGTGGTGGTTATTTTAGCGAAGCACCACTGCCAAAGCTACGAAAGCTATTTTTATGTAGTTGATCAACCTTACTCTATCCATAGACACACGTGTTTTTATGGTGGCGGTGCATAAATCACTGGTGATGTGACCATATTCTTTGGTGGGCGGTCCAACCTATATGCCTGGTGATGATTTGCGATTTGTTCGTGATGTTTTCTAAATTTGTGGTGACAGAGCCTGTTTTTAGGCTTGGTCCTTACGATCGATTTTGAAAGAGTATTAAAGCGGCGATCCTGTTTTATTTTCGCGGTCGAGAATACAACGAATGCCTCAACTTGAAGACTACTTGCATCATTTCAAAATGACTGTTTTATATTCACACTTCATATACTTCAAAAATATATAATTAAATTGTCATCCAGGGTAAATCACTGGTTTGGTAAGAGGGGCAGTCTTCAACACTGTACGATTTGGCCTAAAACACTGTAAATCTAGGCTAGACCACTGAGGGTTAGGTTGGGCGCTTCCACTTTGTGAGCCGGGTTAAAACACTGTAGGATAGACCTAACACACTGAAAGCCTGTCATCGAGGAATGCAAGTGTCTTGATATATAATGCGACGTCAATACTCCTTCTCGTGGTTAGTATCTACGACGCTTTGTATGCTCACATGACTGGCGGAGTGTCAAAGAAGGAGGACTACGTGAAGTCCTACAATGAATGGCTAAATTGTCTGGATAGGGAACGTCGTTGGATAAAGTGCGACATGGTGCTCATCTTGGACGCTTGAGTCGTATACAATGCGATTCTACAGCTTGCGTACGTTGTACAGGAACATCTTCACGTTGTACAGGAACATTTTCAAAATCCGGAACGCTTGGACAGCGTACAGATACAGGAGTATCGGAGAAACTGACGCTTCGTAGATGGCTGAAAGCGATTGCGGAAGAAGGGCGAACAGTCGAACATCTTTGATGCTTGTCACGCGATTGAAACCGGCCGGCTGGGGTTTTAAACCCAGGACAAGGGAGCCCTAGTATCTTTGTTGCTTCGATAATATGAGGGCATAGGTTGTACTTGCTGTGGAAGCAACATTGACACGCCCTAGTTGTCGCATCGACTACCCACCGTCCTCCGGCATGCCCTCCCACTGCAGCATGCATGGTACTGACTATTGTCAGCGTCAGTCATCATGTATTGCGAAGAAAATCGAGTTCCAAAAAGCTGAAGCATCACGCGTTTTAGGTACGATAGGCACCAAGCAACATCGTCAGCTCTCCTTTGCGATGCACAGTAATACACCAGTGGGAAGAAATGTCCACAGCAGTCCGAATATCCAAGGATAAACACGCTATAACGTTGTCGTACCAAGTTGTGTGTGCTATCTACGTGAAGAATAGTGATGCAGTGAGGATTTTCCTGCACTGCAGCATACGCTTCCAGCAGTGAATAGCACGTGAGTCCCATTCGAAAAGGTGATTCATTAGATGCATTTCCAATGTTTGGAACGAGGTTACCATTTTCGTAAACAGAGTCGCAAAACACGAGTAATCCATGTCTGTCTTGAGCCGGTTGATGGCTCATCTCGAACATTGATCGTCCACAAATTTCAACAACCGGTAGCATCGAGTCATCTCGATGTTTTGCTCGCCAACGCTTCATGTATCCTTGTACTTGTGTCTCAAGAGGTGGTGGCCGCGCAACTGGGAACACAACCGGGTAAACACGACATGGAGAGTCACACCAGAATACATCGTAATTTCATTCTGTACAAAGACTTTCATCTCTGCTGTCAGTTTTGCCACTCGCGGGGAGCTTTCGCCTGCGTCCAACATTGAGTGTGGTCCGTCTTGATATACGATCAAAAGATCGCTTAGGTCGCAAGTATTGATTTTGTAGCGACAATTGCATGTTCCAACAAGGGCACAACGGGCAGAGGTACATTTGGTCAGGACTGTGCGCATCATGTGTCGTTCCTGAAGTACCATGTTGTCACCGAGAGCGGTATGGTGCATTGTACACGGGTAACAGTCATTTTTCACTGTAGCTCGACTAGGTAAGCTTGCCATAAATCCTTCTAGCGTGCCTCCAATGAATTGACTTGAACACCAAATGAGCTGCCAGGTAGGTCGAATTCTGGAAGGCTACCCCGTCGAGATCGTGCTTTCACTTGACTGCATTACAAGGTATTAGCCGTATCATTTGTCTAAATAGGTGTGGGATATGGTACCTCCGAGTCGTTCAAACTATCTTCTGACGAACTTATACTTTCATCAGAGCTTGGGCGACTACTTGAGCTGGCCATGAGCCCTATGCATGCTACTGTCGCCAAACTATGCAGTCGTTGTACGTTTCCTGTAGGGAATTCGAAAATAGCATATTTCAAACAGCACGAGAAGTCGTCGTCGGGTTCTTCGACAACGGCTTTGGCTGTTGAAAAATGGATCTTATTCTTTTTATGTGTCGGCGTACTTCAGTGCTACAAGCCCATTTTATCAGTGACCCTCCTACCCCTTTAGTGGAAGCGGCCCGTGGCTCGGTGGTGAAAACCTCTGGTACAGTGTTTAGGCTGTCACTCGTTTAAGTACTGTAACTTCGCAAACGCGTCAATAGTTAATATCATCCATCGATTGTTTACCAAACAGGTCGCATAATCAGAGTTGAATCAGTAAAGTTACAGTCATCCCTGAGGATTAATAATACAGAGTGGGAAGGATCCATAAAGGCAACGATGTTCTCCCCCACATCCCACCTACCTACCTCGTGACGTTCAAAAGTAGACTCGACGTAGAGGTCAGTGAAGTTTAAATTTTGATACACAATAAGTATAGTAAGCCTTTAACGTGTTTCTGAGATAAAATTCAATAGCCTGCACTTTCCAATATATATATTATTGGTAGCTCGGTATATAGTATTCTGGATTGTCTTGTTCAGCACAAATTTCACATCGTACTTTTCATGCCCTGGACTGAAGATTAGCGCGTGCTATCGCATCATGTACATAACCCTATATTGAAACCCGGTGAGCTTATCCTCCCTTGATACACTTGGTTTACTTGCAATAAAACACAACTGGTCCTGTAAACAGGCCAGGGTTTGGTTCTCTCGTGAAGCTTGGTATTATAAGATTTATTTTACTGCAGTGGGTTGACGAAGTTAAAATCGTTTCTTATACTGCCTGAAGGTCCACAAATGTTGAAAAAGGTAGCCACTATGTAAAATACATGGGAGAGGGTTGTTTGGAATCAGAATTGGCGTTAGTTAGGGAAGGTTGCCCAGTAAGTGTTTACGTCGTTTATTTGCATGACGTGAATACGCTGATTCCCGTTATAGTTCAGTCGCATTTAGGATATTAATCAGCACTGATCTCGATTTTGTGAACCTTTTTCACTACTGACCTCGAATTCACACTCACAGGTGATTGGCCAAGACTCTCCATCTATTTATATATCGCTTACCTCATTCAAACGAGTGATCATAAAAGACTGACAGCTGTGTGCTGCATTTGCCCCCGCCGGATTGGCAAGCCATTCCAAGTACTCGTCTTTGACGGAGCTTCAAGCTCTTTGACGCGTCTTTTGCTTGAGCTGTCAAGCATCTTACCAGTGTAAGTTATGATAAAGGCAAGCACTACTTCATTCTACTTACGATCGCGTTATTAAATAGCTCACCGTGTAATAGCTGGTATAACTACTGTGCCACGAAGCTTTCTGGGCATTTGTAGCAAAATACGGATCCCCATACTCCGAAGAATTTGCACTTCGTCGTCATGAAGACGCGGCCAGGACCGACCGCCGGTTGATAGAGAGGAAACAATGTCAAAAGCAATGGAAAAAGTGGTCAGCGTTGCCGAACGGTTAATCGCAAAACTGTGATTGAATATACTCCAAACAAAGTCTTCTGGGAAGCACAGATGGAATCATTTATGAGCGATTTGGGATAAAAGGAGTGGAAAGAGAACATGTGGAGATGCCTGAGGTCGTAAACCGGCCAGTACTAGATAGAGGCGTTGCTGAAAATGGTCCTTTTCTCGTGGAGTATGGAGAGCATACAGCAAGTCTAAATATGAAAATAACAAAGCGATTCGATATAATTGCTTCGCCCGATTAGCCCAAATACGTCACGTCCAATATACCGATGGTATCGAAAACTTAGTACTGCAGTTGGTTGACTTTTACGGTAGCTGAAAGCATGCCATTCATAAACGAAGAACAGTGTGATTTGGTAATTAGAACTTTCAAGGAAAGTCTGTCGGATATTGGATCGACCAAGAATTTGATCAATTTACAGACAGAAGTAGACGACCATAGCATTGTTCAAGGTACAACTCATGTTCGAGAGGAAGCTCGTGCAATGTTTAACCACAGGAGGCCTCGGGTGTTACAGAGCCGTTAATGGAGAGTCAAAATGGACAAAACGAGGAATTTTTGCCCAACATGCAACACAACTTTCAAAGAAGCGAAGAGATGACGGCACTTCTCCAACCGCACGCAAAAAATTGCGATCCACAATTTGAATGTGAAATGGCTAGAAGTGAGTAGGAGCTAACTGGTATATTTGAAGTTTACGTTCTTTTTTTATTAAAGATATAGCAGCAAATACACTATTCATACGTCAAGCAGCCTAGTACCCGTCTCGGGTAGCTTTCATTAATCATACAAAGGATTACAATACGCAATATAGACAACAAAGCTAGGGAATAGCTACTACTAAGTAAGGAGATTGGGGAAAACTTACTCTTCATTGTCAATATTATGTAGTTGCCATTCTGGGGGAACTCCAATTGCTGCATAGGGGCATCATCCACAAAGTAGAGATGCTAGCAATATGGTAGGCTACCACAATACGATTAAAGTTGATTTACTAAGCAATATGGTAACCTACCAGGACATTCAGGTAGAGCTAGTTAACAGATAAACTAACCAATCAAGCGGACTACTACTACAACCATCAATGTATATCTATTCGACAATAGTTTGCATGCCAACACTGTCAATGGTGATATGATAAGCTACCACCACATCACTACCATAGTGCAACTTATCAGACATGTAGACTACCCCTATCTCATTAATCTAAACTAGAGTGATTGATACAAAAGATAGAAGTACGTAGTTTTGATTTGTATCTATTCCTTATATTGATGGTGTTGTATGTATATAGAGTAAAAAATGCACTAACATTGCGGGAAGAACTGCAAAATGGTAAACTACCACATTACCTGGAATCTATGTTTAGTAAACATTTTCACAATGTGGTAGACAACCATCAACCCTTTATCTCAGTGCAATTTCCTGAAATGGTATTCCCTTTAGAATTGTATGGAAGTCCTCAATTGACTGTATCACAAGTTATGTAGACCCGAGTCAGCTAGCGTCCTATACCATACCAAAATTTATCCGACTTCCGACGTTTCCGACGCTGTGTGTGGATTTGTATGTTATACAAAAGCAAGTATATTAACAGAAGAAAGTATGGTCATACAATTTTGTTGTTATTGCGTAAAAAGACGTAAAAAGGTAATTACGTTATAAGAATGATTGGCTTTCACGTCAAGTCG